CCGCTCGATGTATGGCCGTTTCTACGCCCTCTCTCCCTTCGCCCTGGTACTACATAATTAGTGGCAATTTGCCAGGTCATTTTACTATTAATAGTGTGGTTAAAATGGCAAAATGTAAAACGCATTCCATGAGCAAGAGAATTAATAAAACATTCGTGTAGTTTATAAGTCTCAGACTGAGGATTACCGAAATTAAAACATCCAATACTTGATATAAAATTGCAGCTGGCTTTCGCAAATAAATCATCACCGACCAAGAGATTGAATAGTTCTCTTGGTTCTAGTAGTCCATTCAAGACCGTCGCTTCGGATACATATGCTTCTTTCTCGACAAAATACTTTATTCGCTCCGTAGTTTCTTGGGCTAATTTCCAGAAGTAACCAGTATCACCAATCAAACATTTCATGTAAACATTTTGACACGTATACCACGGGCAATAGGACAGGTGTAGTGTTGTTAATTATAATTATGTTTAAAAGATCAGAATATTCATACCTTCTTATTTTGTTTCATAAATAGTTCTTTAATATTCGAAACAAATTCCATATCTGCTTCGTCTGCCATCGCCATGTTTACTCGTCCCAATCTACATGCTGCACGGCATTGCCGCCCCTCCTGGTAAAATAATAAGCAAGCGAGAAAAACTCCTTAATTTTTCTCGCTTGCTTATCATTTTGCCAGGAGGGGCGGCAATGCCGTGCAGCATGTAGATTGGGACGAGTAAACATGGCGATGGCAGACGAAGCAGATATGGAATTTGTTTCGAATATTAAAGAACTATTTATGAAACAAAATAAGAAGGTATGAATATTCTGATCTTTTAAACAAATTATAATGCATGAGTAAGTATAATACCATTTCTAACTTTATATTTAACAACACTACACCTGTCCTATTGCCCGTGCGTATACGCAAACTGTCCAAGGTATTCTTGGTGCGGTTTGGGATTACAGAGGCGTTGAGCATCGATAGCAAACGGCAATTCTAACTCCACTTCAGGATTAGATTGATCAGGCTCTATAAGCTCACAAAAGGCTAAATGTGCTGCAGCAGCAATAGCAGCTGTTACTGTGCAATTATTTGCTCTGCAGGCTTTTATAATATCCTTTGTTTCATTCTCAGTAAAAACCTTTACACTCAGTTGTGGTAGTGATGGTACGCCAGACGTAGAAACCTCTGAGTTCGGTGGAAACTGAACGTGGTACGGATTACACGGCTTCTTTTGTATAAGACGATTGAACATTTTTTCCAAGCAAAATTTCATGATCGGTCGTAGGCCACAATAAGCCAGAATAAAATTAAACAATGAATGCCAAATGCGTCCCCGTGTGACAATCTCGTGTACTTGTGGCAGCAGTTCTAGACTTGCGATTTCTTCGTCAGCTGTGGTAGTACCGTTTGCAAGTCCATTCATATACTTAAGAAATTGCTCGCAAAACTTCACAGAGGACACGCCGTCAATACAGGCATGGTTGAAGTTGAACATTAATGTATTTGCATAATCTTTAGTATCTTGCATGAATTCTTCTTGTAATATTACGACTCGCCATAGCAGACCATTTCCACTCTGTTTTGCTGTATATTCAAACCACATACTTTGCCAGTCAAAAGCCTTTACATCAGAAGTAGTGATATCTAACATTGTAATCACTTCATTGATTTCCTTGATTTCGAAATATTTATCTCCGTTGGTCATTGTTGCTATCACTGCCCGAAGCATCGGCTGTCGCTTGGATAACAGTAGCAGAGCATCGTGAACATGTTGGTGTACCAAGCTTTGTTTCGATGTTATTGATATCGACACACATATATTCCCTGTGCCAGTTTTTTCCATGGATTGAATATCCAACATTTCTTCAAAATGACCAAGTCGACGTCGGTTTGAACCGGTTGAGTTTGCTGACATTGTCCTCTTGGGCCTCGCCTCTCTTGTGAGGTATCTCATAATCTTTGAAAGCGTGTATAAAACAAATACACAGACTACAGTGAGAAATGCTTGTATCCAGAATCCACCTAACATGTTAAAATTAGACAGCCAAGCTATACCTATAATGTCGATATCAGATTGAAGTCGGTCTGCACACAGTTGATACAATAGATAGCTTAAGA